GACATAGTGGAGACGGTATGAGAGATAAGAGTTAAACCATTCAAGGACAGAACTTTGAAAATTGAGATGAGAGGAGAGGCAGTGGAGGAAGATGCAGTGGTCCATGGTGTCGAAGGCAGCAGAGAGGTCGAGGAGGATGAGGAGGCAGAGGGAGCCCTTTTCACAGATGGACAGGATGTCAATTGTGACCTTGACTAGAGCAGTTTCCGTGCTGCTCGCAGCACAGAAACACGATTGGAGGGGCTCATGAAGGGAATGGTAGGACAGGAAGGAACAAAGCTGGGAACCAACAACTCTTTCAAGGACCTTGGAAAGAAAAGGGATGTTGGAAATAGGGCAGAAGTTAGAAAAGAGGGATGGGTCCAGGGAAGGTATCATTTTTGATGGAGAATGTGAGACAAGCTGTTTGGAAATCTCTGCCCGTGAATGCATACTTGAATGCTGCTCTCGGTGTAAATAGAGCAGCAGTGGAGCCTCCTGACATGAAAGACGCAATAACAAAACAGAAGGATTATTATTGTTATTATCATCGTGTAGCCGTGCGCTGGATTCCACTAACCAGTCTGTTGTACGTTTCTCTCTTCTGTGCATGCCTTTGGAGCCATGGCTGAACACACAGATAGCGTGTAAACAGAAAAGGGAACTGCATGTCACACTTAAGATTTTCGGAAACTCAGAAAATCGTGAAAGAAAACGCTCCGTTTAATCCCAACCGCTGGATTCAGTGTTGACATTTGGAGACATCCGTGGCCAATTGAGTGAAGCCGTATTTTTGAAGAAACTATCAAAAGCAGCAGCTTTTATCAAATCGTTGTTGGAACCATTGCATTGGCTGCCGTGTTTCAAAGATAATCCTCCAATACACTTTGAACTGCGTTCGCTTTGAAAATATTTGAGTTCAGGATACTGGCCCGTGTAATTTAAATTTTTTTTAAAAAAGACAACAAAGCAAAATGGTGCACTTCAGATAAATGTTGCCCTCGAGCGGGAAACGGAGACAATGAAACAGCGTGTGATTGGGGATGAGCACAAGGATCATTGCGTTCAGGTTAATCTGAAGCCTATTGACAGGACACAGAGAGCTGCAGCAATGATCATTTTCTCTTGCACCGAGTACAATGGCATGTGTTTTTTCCGCTCAAGCGTCACTACTTTGCACAACTTTGTTAACTTCTCTTTGATCTGATCTGGGCACTTTAACGTTGAGATCCAGAACGGATTACCTTTGCAACGTACAGGCTGGATAGTTAAATGCACAATCCCTGGAATCACATGTCAATTGGTTGCATGGCTATAGGGGCTGCTATCTAAATCCTCCTTCTAATCCCCATCACACTGGCCTTAGTCTCAGTGTACAAATCAGGTTATGGCAAGAAGCATGACCAGAGACCATTAGATACGGAGGGCTATCAGGACATGAAGCACTATACCAAAACAGTGTGTGAGGCAGAATCTGTTGCTTTTTAAACAGAATTGGAAAAATATTTGAAAAGAAAAAATATTTTTAAAAAGCTATGGTGGAGGGGAGGGGGAGGAAGATGAAGGCAGTGAGGCGGGAGAGACTTAGATAATAATAAATAATCCTTGCATTTGATATATTGCCTTATCACGCCTTTGAGACATCTCAAAATGCTTCACAGGATACATTGTAATGTGGATTGCCTGTGTATTTTGTGGGCGAAACACAGCAGCATAACAATGTTCCACAAACAGTCGTGGTTGAGTGACCAATTTTTATTGAGGATTATTACTCCTGGAAAGCGATCCATCAATTGACTGACAACCGGATTGCTACTTACTGCTCGGTAAAGAGAGGTGTGTGGAGTAAGGAGACTTGGCTAAGGTTTAGCGCCGCCCGGGAATCAAACCCATGTTCTCTCGTTTGCAAAGCAAGCATGCTGACCACTCCCTGTATTGTAGTGTAAGATAGCTTTTACAGAGCACTAGAATGGGAAGGTCATTCTGACTATACACAATGTGGACTTAACCCACTATCTTTTGGGGTAAATGCTCCCAATCCCAAAGTTCCTTTCCCTCTGATACCCCACCCAAGGTGCCCATTGTTCATGTGTGAGGCTGGGCAGAGATTGTTGGCAGAGAACGTCACTGCCAAGCTTAACCTCTCCCCACCCAGCTGCCACATGAGGGTGCTGCTGAGGGTCCAGGAGCAGGAACCCTGGCTGGCTTTTCCCTCCCTAACCCTGGGAATGCCAGGGCCAATTTTCCCTCTCCACAGAGACCTGTCCAAGACCAGCAAACTCAGCATGGACCAGAATTTCAACCTGTAAGTTTCACCCATTAAACCACGGGGACTACTCTGAGCATTTGTATTGGTCAGGTGGGAATCCTAGCCAACAAAACCCCAGATAAATTGCTCATTTATTTTGGTCTGTTTTTTGAACCTTGCAGTAATGTCAACTGGCTGCCGTATTTGCCTAGAAATGCAGAGTCTCCGCAATTGACAGCAATTACACCTGAATTGCTTTTAAACCCTGTGTCACATGCTAGTGTTATTACCACGATTAGTCATGGGCCAGGGCTGCAAGGCAAAAGCTACATCATAAAAATCGAAGGACATAGACACGACAACACTGTTCAGGTTTTCAAACAGCTTATCCCCTCTGCACTGTTCAGTGCTTTCCACAGGCATAGACAGCAACATTTGGGATGTAAATGGAGTCCCAAGTGACACAAGCCATTAGTGTACTTACTTAAGCCACAGGACTGTGGGGACTTACAGGCAAAAAGCATTAAAATCAAGCTCCCAATCTCACCTGTCAGCTGGAGAAGCCATGAACTAAAGCTGGCCCTTCCCTTGAGAAGCAGAAGGGAACCATGGGGAGAAAATCACCCCCTAAACACCTTGAGCATAATAATAATAATCCTTGCATTTGATATAGCGCTTCTCACATCTTCTAGCGTCTCAAAGCGCTTCACAGAATATGCTGTAAAGTGAATTGACCGTATATTTTGTGGGCGAAACACGGCAGCCAATTGCGCACAGCAGTGTCCCACAAACAATCGTGAATTGAAAATGACCAATTGCCAAAGGCGCGGTCAAAAAGACCTTTGTTTTCGACCGCGCTTTGGTCACCTTCCTCCCCCTGGCTCGGTCCCGGGATCCGTTACTGTAAAGCGCTCTGAGACGCCGTCCGGAGAGGAGGGCGCTATATAAATCCAAGGTGCTGTTGTTGTTTTGGAGGGATTATTATAAGGAGTGTGGAGTAAGGAAACTTGCCCGAGGTTTTGCCCTGCCGGGAATCGAACCCAGGTCTCTCGTTTGCGAGGCGAGTGCTACAGGACCCAGGGTGACAGAGCAACATCAAGCAGGGGAAACTAACACTGAATCAGCTATGTGTTTGTGTCAACAGGAAAGAACACAGCGTTAAGTAGTTAAACAAATAACATTTGTTTTAAAAAAGTACCAAATTAGCAAGAAAGAGCCTCAGCATCTTGCTGTGGATGTTCTACCTCACAGCAGTAAGACAGTAGCGACCGTTACATATATTAAAAAAAAGTTATGTTTTCTTGAGTTACAATTCCATTCAGTGCTGGGGTGGGGGGGGATTTATAAGGGCGTTTGCTTTGATCCTGAGATTAGATGGGTGGGATTGGTGGAGTCGCTGGAATATTATTAAAAGGATTGTAGCACGGGGTTCAGCCTCATTGCTTTTAATACCAGTGAGCGTAGATAGAATTGACACTTGTCTTGGAACTGTATTTGATACTGTAATAAGCCTCAGCAGGGAATCATAAATGAGAACATCTCTGTGTGAATGTCACAAATCACTTTGAGGAGGAAGGAAAAATCATCCTCACAAGAACCTCCCATCAAGTCGTTACTTAAATGAGTCCAGTGTCCTGGCCTCAACCACCCTTCCTGGCAACCTGTTCCAGTCATTAAATGCCGTCTGGGTAAAGACATGCTTCCCGGTGTCTGCCTGGAAATTGCCCTTTGCAACTCTAATTCTCTGATCTTGTTCTGCTGTCTTGTGTATACCAGAAATTGGTATTGTTCTAGGATTACTTTTTCAATCCCATTGTCGGGTCACCTCTAAGACTTATTTTTAGACTGAAAACTGCTGGCCACTTAATGTAGCTCAGCGGTTAGAGCACTCGCTTTGCAAGTGAGAGACCTGAGTTCAATTCCTGTCAGGGCAAAACCTTGGGCAAGTTTCCTTACTCCACACACCTAACAATGATCCCTCCAAAACCAAAAACAATAATAAAAATTGGTCATTTTCAATCTACGACTGTTTGTGGGACATTGCTGTGCACAATTGGCTGCCGCATTCGCCCACAAAACATATACAGTCAATTCACTTTACAGTGTGTTCTGTGAAGCGCTTTGGGACGTCCTCCCGACGTGAGAAGCGCTATATCAAATGCAAGGATATTATTATTATTAACTGTGCTTACGGTCACCTCCCCCCTCCCCCACCAGCTTAGAGTCAGGCTCTGCCACTGCTCTGCCACTGTTACGCTACCCTGCATGGAGGGTGCTATATAAATGCAAGTTGTTGTTGTTGTACCCTTTGCATGAAAGAAAGCTACCTAATTTCACTCCTGAATAGCCCAGCTCTAACGTTAAGATGATGCCTTCATGTTATGGATTCCCTCACCAGAGGAAAAAGTTTCTCTGTAGCTATCCTATCGAATTCCTTTATGATTTTGAACAGCTCAATTATATCATCCTTTAGCCTTCTAAACTCCAGGGAATACAAGCCAATTTTATGCAACCTGTTCTCATAATTTAATTTTTAAGCCCTTGTATTAAGTGGGGAGGGCACCTGCAGGATTCAGCACTTACAAATTATCTCCCAATGAGGTATTGGGATACCGATCTCCCGTCAACAAACATTTGTGCGTTCTCACGCAGTTCTCTCATTGCCCTGATGTTTTGCTATCTCCTCAGGTGCCTGTGGGTAAATCGCCTCAGAAGTCAAAGCGCTATTTGGCCAAAGGAGAGGATTAATGGGCCTTTTATTGATCACTGCGGTTATGGGCACCACACCCCAGTCTACATACACCTGAACTGGCCAATGCCTCAATGCATCTGGGTAAGATGCTAAATCACACCTCCCTTTGGCTCACGCTGGTGGTTTTGTTGCTGAGGCTTTGTGGGACGGATCATACGCCGGACAGTTTGCAACTTCAGAAATGGCGGACTGGGCGACCGGAAGAGAGCTTCCTGGCACATCGGCGAGTGAAGCGAGGCTGGGTTTGGAACCAGTTCTTTGTTGTGGAAGAGTACACTGGCACAGAACCACTCTACGTTGGAAAGGTGAGCCCTTTATAGAGATCATTGCATTTGTAGATGGTCACATTGTGTCAAGTGTAATGTAATTCCTAGAGTGACTATTCAGAATGATGAAGCTATGTTCAAACATTCATTGCAATAGACGGACAACAAGGATAACTAAAACTGTGTCAGCCTGGTTCAGTGGTAGCACTCTTATCTCTGAGTCAGAAGGTTGAGGGTTCAAGTTCCAATGTGGTCTAAGCTGACACTCTAGTGAAGCGCTGGGTGTATGCTGCATTGTCACAGGTGCCGACTTTTGGATGAGGTCCTGTCTGCCTGTTATAAGTATTTGTAAAGATCCCATGATCTTTACTGACTTGTAGGGTGGGGCAGTGGTGGGAGGGTGAGCTGACATGCCCGCCAGCCCCCCCCCCCCCCACCCACACAATTCCATAGTCATAGCCGTTAACAACATTTTGCTTTAAAATGTAAGCTCGAGGCAGAATTGTAGAAATTTCAATCTAAATTTTGAAACCAGCTTCCAACTTAAAACCGAAATTTTAAATTTCACACAATTAATATTTTAAGACAAAACCGGTCTTACGGGCTAAGACTAGGCAGAATTTGGTGCCGCATTGACCCCCACAGGATTGTATACACGACAACACACATACTGCATACAAAATGCATCTATTCTAAGCGTTCGCCTACAAAATACAGTCGCTAGAGTGAATCCTGTAAAGAGCCTTGAGACAACCGGATGGATACCTTTAACCCATCAATAGAAAATGTCAGGAGAGTTTCTGCAGTAGGTATCTTGTAAGTGTAATCCCTCAGTGGAGGGACTGCTGATCTCGGGCCAGTCACAGTGATTGAAGATTAGCCTGCAGGATTTAATGCGAGATACTTGATGAAAGGAAGGCATTTCGATTAGGAGGGCCACATTCAAGGAGAAAAGCCTACAGACGGTTGAGTGGGCAAGTCTATCTGGGAACAAAAAACATTGAAAACTCATCCAGTTGCACTCTGATGTTTCATTTATCAAAGGGCACAATGGAAGATGGACAATGAAAGAGATAATTTGCAGGGCAAAAGATGGAATAGGTGCGGTGCGCAATCCTTCACTGCCTAATGCTGGGTTCTGCAGGATCTGAAACAACGACATCACACCTAGACTATAAGGTGTTCAAATTGAAAATACTTATAAATGCAAAACCAGTAAGGCAATGGCACAAAGAGGCAATTTATTTTATTGACAGCTTTCTTTCTTAGGATTCTTCTACATTGTAGCATAGTGGTTAGAGCACTCGCCTCACAAGCGAGAGGACTAGGGTTTGATTCCTGGGCGGGGCGAAACCTTAGACAATTTTCCTTTCTCCACACGCCTGTTTATCTAGTAAGTAGGAACCCGGTTGTCAGTCGTTTGGCGGAATGCTTTCTGGGGGTAATAATTCCTTAAAAAAATTATAATTTGGTCATTCAACTCCGCGACTGCTTGTGGGACACTGCTGTGTGCAATTGGCTGCTGCGTTTCGCCCACAAAACATACAGTCAATTCACTTTACAGTATATTATGTAAAGCGCTTTGAGACAACTGGAAGACACTATATCAAATGGAACGATTATTATTATTTTGCTGTAGGAGGGAGAGAGGTAAAAAAAGTGCAAATACTGTCATTTCGACCCGGAAATCTGGGCTCAAGTCAAACTCAGACAGAAGTAATGATGATTTTCTTTCTGTGATGGATATAGAGGATTGCAAAATAAGCACGTGCAGCTCCCAAAAGATATGAGCACACAGCGTAAAGCAGCCTTGAGTTTGACACTTATTGGTTCTAATGGATGACTCTCACAGCTTGGAAATGGAACGTGGGGATAATGAAAAGTGCTCTCAAAGGTCATGGACTACTTTTCCCAAAGGAGAAAAGTTCCTGCAAGTTTATAAAACACTCAACACAGCGCAAGCCAACCCGACCTGCCAACCGGGACAGACAGACACTTTGTCTCACATTCCCAGGGTGTGCAAAACTCAATGGATTTACTTATAAAGAAAAGCTTATGTACATTTACATACACACTCACAAACACACAGTGCATAAGCTTCTATTAGATAACCATTGCATTTATTTGTTTATATTTAAATTTAAAGAGTATCATAACGTGACTCAATTATTATTTTAACCTTTAAAATGCCAATAGGTCCAGGGAAATTCCAGCCTGTCAAGTTTTCATTCACACTTGAGACTAATACAAACCCTAACGTTTCAATAGAACTACAATACTCAGACCACGGGAAGTGCCATTGCATTAATATTAAGCCAACAAAACACACAGAAGTAAATTGTTTTGATTAACATTTAATTTCTGCTTTTCTTTCCACTTGTCTTGTATCTATTTCTCCCCCAACTTAGCACCACATTATTTACCTGAGCCCTGCCTTATTACAGCATTAAGTCTATGAGCAAATGATTTTTAATGTACTTGGCAGCGAATCATATTTAATCTGCATTAGTTAGTCACCAGCGCAGCCTTTGCTGTGGATGACTTGGTAACATCCATCAATGTAAGACTTTGTAGCGTATATTAGATAGTGGGAGATCAATATTGATGTTCGTGGTTGGCACAGTAATGTAAACTCCTCACCACTCTGCAGCATTTGGAAACGGTAGATGTGTGCTCATACATTCTGCAGCAATCAACATTAAATTCCTAGACCTATGCAGGATTTCACTCTGAACTACACTGAAAAGGTGTTTAAGATGAAATGCATTGAATCAGTGAGATTATGAACCCTCTTCTTCCACATGCTCCACATATCTCAAAGATGTGATAAGACGCTATATCAAATGCAAGGATTATTATTATTATTATTAACTGTTAAAAAATGAACTAAAGGCAAGACTGTTGCTGGCATTTCCCTGAATTCCACTGAGTGATTGCAAGAGGCTGTTTGTCAGTAGGAAGGAATGCCGTCTTCTGGGTTTTCAAGAGGAAAGAGATGTACCTCTACCAGTTTTGGTAAAGTTTCTTGTCAATATTGAGCGGAATACAACAATAACAACAACAAATTATATCTGTATAGTATCTTCCTGTTTGGGAGGACGTCCCAAGATGTTGGACTGTCAGGTATCGGTCAATAGTTGCCAGGAGTGTAATGTGTTTGTTCATATGAAAACACAAGCATGACGCAAGTCACACTGGCCACCTGTCCGTCAAACAAAGACAGGTGAACTAAGGCCAACCTGTGTTCATTGTTCAGAGAGCTCCGAATGTGAGGTGTCGGAGATCCCGCACAATTGGTATTCATTCGAACCATTGTGTCTGAGGAGTAATAGCTTCCCCAGTGCATTCTTTGCTCTTTCCCCAAAGTGCTTGAGATGAAGCTACCTACTCTATTCGCTTTCCCTGTTCTCTTCGTCTGTGTTGGGTGTTCCCTCACCCACCGGAGCTCTCTTCTCCAATTCTATTCCCTTCAGGTATTTATTCAATTCCTCAGACACCCACTGATCCTCTTATCAATCAATTATTAAACTCTTATCAACTGCTCCTGATCGCATCCCACAGCACGGGTGCAAATCTTTGCCAGTCCAGCGCCTTGGGACATTCTCCCGGCGTGAAAGATGAAATACAAAATATTTAGCAACAAAATAGTCAATCCACTTTACAGTATATCCTCTGAAGCATTTTGAGATGTGTAGAAAAGGTGATAAGGCGCTATATCAAATGCAAGGACTATTATTATCATATATATATATACACACACACACTAGCTGTACCCGACGCAGCTTTGCTTACAACCAAAGGATCCAATGTGGAATGTAGATTGACGCACAAACAGACACACAGACAGACATTTCGGTTCGACATTATACTCAGCTGGCAGGACTCCTGCAGGTGAACTCCTTTTGCGAGGACTCAGACTGAGAGTGTAAATATATTAAAGGAGTCCTCCCACTCTCTGTCTCTCTCTCTCTCTCTCTCCCAATCTCTGTCAGTCTCTCTCAATATCTCAGTCTATCTCTCTCTGTTTCTCGTTCTCTCTCAGTCTCTCTCTCTCTCTCTCTGACTGGCTGTTTGTCTCACTATCTCAGTCTTTCTCACTATCTCAGTCTCTCTCTCTGTCTCTCTGTTTGACTCACTCTCTCTCTCTCTCTCTCAGTCTCTCTCTCTCTCAGTCTCTCTCTCTGTCTGTCCCACATGGGAGGACTCTAGTTCCTGCGACAACCAGAAAAAAATGTGACATACATTTGTTACAAAATATAGATGTATCTCTCTGAACCGTATATGCTTTCCTCTGTTCGCTATGTAGTTGCAGAATAGGCATAGGCTGCAATACCCCATATTTTGAGGTTTCATTAAAGCATTTTTTTTTAATATAGCTCATCAACAATAGGAGATACCTCCCTAAAAAAAATATGCCCATGACACTGCCAGTTGCAAGACCTTTCCGATGAGGTATAAATCATGTCTCTACGTCAATCAGTTATTGTCATATACATGATTGTCATATACACTGACACGCAGAAAGACAGATACTTTGTCTTTAGTATTGAAGATAGATTCGCTCTCTCAGTCTCGCAGATTATTTGTCTTCAAGCAATTAGTATATATTGTATATCACAATGGACATGATGTCACAACCGATTCATATAGAGACATGACCTCATATTTTGGGGCTTAATTTTTAATATAGTATTATAATATATAATGATAGGAGATGCCCCCCTCAAAAAATATGCCCATGACTTGCCAGATGCAAGACCTTTCCAATGAGGTATATTTCATGCCTCTAAATCAATCGGTTATTGCGTGATTGTCAGATACACTGACGCAAGATAAACAGACGTTGTCATTTTATTGGTATAGAAGATATTCTGTATGCCCGTAGTTCTCCACACAATGAGCTTCCTGATCTCAGCCATGCTATATTGGGGATATATAGCAGTTTCATCTCAAAATAGAATGGCATTAACAGATCTTGCGACCATAAAAATTTATAGCACAGAGAAGGTCATTGTGTCTGAATTAGCTATTTGAAAGAT